AGCACCATTTATTGAATAGACTGTCCTTGCTCCAGGAATTAGTTTTAGATCCTTGATCGAATATAAGTTGGCTGTAGATGTTTGGGTTGATTTCTGGTATTTCAATTCTGTTCCATTGGTCTATCCATCTGTTTCTGTACCAGTACCATGCTGTTTTGATTACAACTGCCCTGTAGTATGTCCTGAAATCTGGTATTGTGATGCCTCCGGCTTTGTTTTTGTTGTACAAGATTGCTTTAGCTATTCGAGGTCTCTTGTGCCTCCATATAAATTTCAGCACCAATTTTTCCAGATCTGAGAAGAAGGTCTTCGGTATCTTGATTGGTATTGCATTGAATTTATAAATTACTTTTGGGAGAATGGACATTTTGATGATATTGATTCTTCCAATCCATGAGCATGGAAGATTTTTCCATTTCTTGGTATCCTCTTCTATTTCTTTCTTTAAGGTTTTGTAATTTTCATCGTAGAGATCTTTAACGTCCTTGGTTAAGTTTATTCCAAGGTATTTGATTGTTTTTGTAGCTATTGTGAATGGGATTGATCTTAGAAGTTCTTCCTCAGCCATGGCATTGTCTGTGTATACAAAGGCTGTTGATTTTTGTGCATTGATTTTATACCCTGCTACTTTGCCAAACTCTTCTATGAGTTCCAATAGTCTCTTAGTAGAGTTCTTTCGGTCCCCTAAATAAAGAATCATGTCATCTGCAAAGAGGGATAGTTTGAGTTCTTCCTTCCCAATTTGTATCCCTTTAATTTCTTTTTCTTGCCTAATAGCTCTGGCTAGAACCTCCAGAACTATATTGAATAGCAGTGGTGAGAGTGGACATCCCTGTCTGGTCCCAGATCTCAGTGGAAATGCTTCCAACTTTTCCCCATTCAATAGGATGTTGGCTGTGGGTTTTTCATAGATTGCTTTGATTGTATTGAGGAATGTTCCTTCCAAACCCAGTTTGCTTAGAGTTTTCATCATGAACGGGTGTTGTATTTTATCAAATGCTTTCTCGGCATCTATTGAGATAATCATATGGTTTTTCTTCTGCAGTCTGTTAATGTGGTGTATCACATTGATTGTCTTGCGCACATTAAACCATCCCTGCATACCAGGGATAAATCCCACTTGGTCTGGGTGGATGATCTTTCTGATGTGTTGTTGCATTCTATTGGCGAGAATTTTATTGAGGATTTTTGCATCTATGTTCATCAGGGATATTGGTCTGTAATTCTCTTTCAGTGCTGCATCTTTTTCCGGCTTAGGAATTAAGGTGATGCTGGCTTCATAGAAAGAATTTGGGAGGATTCCCTCTTCTTCGATTGTTCTGAATAGTTTGAGAAGAATTGGAGTTAGTTCTTCTTTAAATGTCTGGTAGAATTCAGCAGTGAATCCATCTGGTCCTGGGCTTTTCTTTGTTGGGAGGGCCTTTATTACTGTTTCAATTTCTGTCTCAGTTATGGGTCTGTTTAGGTTTTCGATGTCTTCCTGGTTCAATTTAGGTAGGTTGCATGTGTCCAGGAATCTATCCATTTCTGATAGGTTTCCCTGTTTGCTGGCATACAAGTCCTTGTAGTAATTTCTGATGATTCTTTTTATTTCTGTGGTGTCTGTTGTTACATTTCCTTTTTCATCTCTGATTTTATTGATTTGGGTCTTTTCTCTTCTTTTTTTAGTTAGTTGGGCCAATGGGGTGTCAATTTTGTTTATTTTTTCAAAAAACCAGCTCCTCGTTTGGCTGATTTTTTGGAATGTTTTTCTTGATTCAATCCTGTTGATTTCTTCTCTGGTTTTAATTATTTCTCTTCTCCTACTAGATTTGGGTATGGTTTGCTGTAGGTTTTCTAGATCCTTGAGGTGAATAGAAAGCTCATCTATTTGGTGCCTTTCCAATTTCTTGATGTAGGCACCTATTGATATAAACTTTCCTCTTAACACTGCTTTTGCTGCGTCCCATAAGTTTTGGTATGTTGTGCTGTTATCCTCATTTACTTCCAGAAAGTTTTTGATTTCTCTTTTGATTTCTTCTATGACCCATTGTTCATTCAGGAGCATGTTGTTCAGTCTCCATGTGTTTGCATATGCTCTAGGGATTCCTGAGTTGCTAATTTCCAACTTCATCCTTTATGGTCTGAGAAGCTGCATGGTATGATTCTAATTCTTTTGAATTTGCTGAGACTTGCTTTATGGCCTAGTATGTGGTCAATCCTAGAGAAGGTTCCATGTACTGCTGAGAAGAATGTAAAATCTTTAGCTGTAGGATTGAAAGTTCTGTATATATCTGTTAGATCCATTTGGGCTATAGTGTCGTTTAAATCTACTGTATCCTTGTTGATCTTCTGTCCTATTGATCTGTCTATTTCTGAGAGTGGAGTATTGAAGTCCCCCAGTACTATTGTATTGGGGTCTAAGTCTCCCTTTAAGTCCGTTAACAAATCTTTTAGATAAACCGGTGCCCTGTAGTTAGGTGCATATACATTGATAATTGTTATATCTTCCTGTTGAATTGATCCCTTAATCATTATGTAGTGTCCCTCTTTGTCTCTCTTAACGGTTTTTGTAGTAAAGTTTATGGTGTCTGATATTAAGATGGCTACGCCTGCTCTTTTTTCATTTCTGTTGGCATGGTATATCTTTTTCCAGCCTTTCACTTTCAGTCTGTATGGATCTTTGTTGGAAAGATGTGTTTCTTGTAAGCAGCAAATAGATGGGTTTTGTTCCTTAACCCAATCAGCCAAACGGTGTCTTTTAACTGGACAGTTCAGGCCATTCACGTTCAATGTGACTAATGATAAGTGGTAACTTTGCCCTGCCATTTGCCAAAGATAAGTTCTAATATATGCTTTGAATTCCCTGTGATCTTTTGCTGTGAGGTTTCCTTCCTTTACCTTCTTTCATATTGATGACCGTGTTTCTTTGTTTCTGTGTGTAACACATCTTTAAGCATCTTTTGCAGGGCTGGACGAGTGGCAACAAATTCTTTCAATTTCTGTTTGTTATGAAAAGTCTTTATTTCACCTTCATTCACAAATGATAGCTTTGCAGGATATAATATTCTGGGCTGACAATTGTTCTCTCTTAGTACCTGGGCTATATCTTGCCATTCCCTCCTAGCTTGTAGAGTTTCTGATGAGAAGTCAGCTGTGAGTCTGATTGGAGATCCTCTGAGAGTAATCTGACGTTTCTCTCTTGCACATTTTAGGATCTTTTCTTTATGTTTCACTGTGGAGAGTTTAATTACAACGTGTCGTGCTGAGGATCTCTTTTGGTCGTGTTTATTAGGGGTTCTGTGAGCTTCCTGTACTAGGATTTCTCTGTCCTTCTCCAAACCTGGGGAATTTTCTGCTAATATCTCACTAAAAAGGCCTTCTAATCCTTTCTCCCTCTCCATGCCTTCAGGAACTCCTAGAACCCGAATGTTGGGTTTTTTAATAGTATCCTGAAGATTCCCGACAATATGTTTTAGATTCCTAATTTCCTCGTCTTTTCTTTGGTCTGACTGTATCCTTTCCTGTTCTCTGTCTTCTAAGTCTGATATTCTCTCTTCTGCTTCTCCCATTCTGTTTGTAAGGCTCTCTATTGTGTTTTTCATTTGATCTATTGAATTCTTCACTTCAGTCACTATCCCAGTTTCCTGTTGTACTAGTTGTTTCGTTTCATTTTGATTCCTCCTTAATATTTCATTTTCACGAGAGAGATTTTCTATCTTGTCCATTAAGGATTTCTGTAGTTCAAGAATTTGTTTTTGAGAACTTCTTAATGTTCTTATCAATTTTTTGAGATCTGCTTCTTGCATTTCTTCTATGTCATCATCCTCATAATCTTGAATTGGGGTGTCTTTTTCATTTGAGGGCTTCATGGTGACTTCCTTGTTTTTATTACCTTGGTTTTTGCGTTTGTTATTTGGCATATTGGAGATATTTGGTTTCTTCACTGTGGTGCTTTTTCTTGTTATACTATGACTCTAGATTAAGTGGACTATCTGTTTTTGATGGAGCCTTAGGGCTTGAGATGGGTGTGGCCTGAGAGCTCTGTTTGGTGTGCCAAAGGTGCCACTCCCAGGTTGGGTGTGGTAAACCTCTCTCTCTCTCTCTCTTTTTTTTTTTTGATTCAAAAGGGAAGTTATTCTGCACAGCTGAACGAAGTTGGAGGTAGTTAGCAGGCAAATGATATACCCACAGGAGCCAGAGATCGGAAGCTCTTTCCCAAGGACCACACAGGGAATCTGTTCGGCCCTCGGAGTGGGCTCAAATTCTCCTTCAGTCTCCCACTGGGTTGCCAAAGTTACGGAATTGTAGCGTCTCTGGAGAGTACTCAGGTGAATTCCGTGAGTTCTCTCCCCCACCGTCTCTTTTTTCACAGTCTCAGTTCAGTAGCACCACAAATTTACTAGGTCCTAATCTCCTGTTAATTCTCCCCACCCAGAGTCAGGTTTTTCTGCTAGGCTCAGGGCCGGTGCAGACCTGAGGTCGCTCTGCTTATGACGTATGTCCAAGATGGCGCCTGCTCTTTGTCTTGCTCGCCCTTGAGAGGTGAGCGGAGAGAGAGAAACCCGTGTCCATACAAGTCACCTTTTTTTTTTCCCCTCTCTCTCTCTTCCAGTTAGCTTGGTGAAGTCCCCCCCCCTCCCCCGGGGGTCGTTCCCTCTAGTCTCCTCTCTCCGCTTGCCTGCCGGTGTCTCGGGTTATTGAGGTTCGGCTCACCTTGCGTTCCAGCGCTGGTGTGTTGAGTCTGCCGCTGGTGTCCCGAACTGTGGGCTCCCACGCTCTCCACGCAGGTCTGCTCCCCTTCCAGCGCCGATGTGTGGACTCGGAGCCCTGGACATCCCAAGTCTCCCCGCTGTTGCACTCCCCTTTGAGCACTTGCGCGCAGACCCTGCAGCTTGCGTAGCTCAGTCCCGCGGCTCGGCTTCCGCGGCTCGGCTTCCGCGGCTCCGTCCCGCGGCTCGGTCCTGCGGCTAGGCTTTCGCGCGCGGTGGGCGACCTTGTTCTCCCAGTAGGTCCTCCGATTTACGCCCACTGGATCCAGAAGAGTTTCGTCTGCAATATTTTCCTGGTTCTTTTTTCTGAGGCTACCGTAACTCCCCTTTTATTAAACTAAATTTTCCCGGACTATCGGTGCGCGCCCTCACTATTCCGCCATCTTGGCTCCGCCCCCGGGTGTTGTGTTTTATCAAATGCTTTCTATGCATCTATTGAGATAATCATATGAATTTTATTCCTTTTGTTAGTGTGATGTATTGTCTATTGATTTTTATGTGCCAAACTAACCTTGTATCCCTGGGATAAATTTCCCCTTGTTTTAGGTGGATGATCTTTTTGATGAGTTAGATTTTATTAGCTAGCATTTGGTTGAGGATTTTTACATCAAACCATCTTCTTTTGTAACATCAGACACAGAGGTGACAGCTTTGCATAGATTATTTTATCAGCTTGCACAATTGTGTAAGGTCAAAGTCCTGTTATAAAATCTGTTACATGTGTTTGTATGTGTAGAAATTTCTTAGTGGCTTAGCATCCCTGCTAAAACTCAGGGTGATAGCATAAGCAAGCCAGTAAACACATCTGTTGTGCTGATCTCTGTATCTGTCTTTCTATGTAAATTATTTACTTTGGATGATGAGAAGAGACCCTTGTCTGGAAGGTGGTACTGAATAGAGTCTGGATATTCTGAAATTGCAGAGTGATCATATTTATGAACAAAGCTTTTAAATGATCACTGACTCTATTTTAAAAAGTTTCTTTTAATTATTAGAGTTGTTGAATACTTGGAGAAAAAATTATTTCTTCAATGGAAAGATGCTTTTCTTCAGACATTCTGGACCCTACTATTTTGGTATCACACTTCATCTCCACTCCCTGTTTCCCCAGGGTTTGTGAAAGGGGACATGTGGCAGAGGAATCAGACCTCCCTGGCAGACTTCATCCTTGAAGGGCTCTTTGATGACTCCCTCACCCACTTTTTTCTTTTCTCCTTGACCATGGTGGTCTTCTTCATTGCAGTGAGTGGCAACACCCTAACCATTCTCCTCATCTGTGTGGATTCCCGGCTTCATACACCAATGTACTTCCTGCTCAGACAGCTCTCCCTCATGGACTTGATGCATGTTTCCACAACCATCCCCAAGATGGCTGCCAACTACCTATCTGGCAAGAAGTCCATCTCCTTTGTGGGCTGCGCAATCCAGCACTTCCTCTATTTGTCTCTAGGTGGTGCCGAATGTCTTCTCCTAGCTCTCATGTCCTATGACCGCTATGTTGCCATCTGTCACCCCCTACGTTATTCTGTGCTCATGAACAGAACGGTGGGACTGATGATGGCGGTCATGTCATGGTTGGGTTCGAGCATAAACTCCCTAATCCACACAATGATTTTGATGTACTCCCCTTTCTGTGGGCCTCGGAGGATCCACCACTTCTACTGTGAGTTTCCAGCTGTTGTGAAGTTGGTCTGTGGTGACATCACTGTTTATGAGACCACAGCATATATCAGCACCGTCCTACTTCTCCTCCTCCCCATCATCCTGGTTTCTACATCTTACATCTTCATCCTCCACAGTGTCATTCAGATGCGTTCAGCTGGAAGTAAGAGAAATGCCTTTGCCACTTGTAGCTCTCACTTCACCGTGGTTTCCCTGTGGTTTGGGGCCATCATCTTTTCATACATGAGGCCCAGATCCCAGCGCACTCCACTGCAAGACAAAGTTGGATCTGTCTTCAGTAGTATCATCACTCCCACACTGAATCCTCTGATTTATACTCTTCGGAATAAGGATGTAGCCAACGCTCTGAGGAGAGTACTGAGGAGAGATGTTACCACTGAGTGACCATAATGATCTCCCCAAGGACAGAGTGGATCGGATAATCCTCTCAAAGTTTCTAGCTAAATCATTGACAGTTTCCAAGTACCCAGATTGCTGATGCTCTGAGTCTCTGAGTATGTGAGAATGACATAGTTGACACAGAATTCCACTAATCTAACTTGGTGTCAGGTACTCAAGCAACATAGTTTACTTTTCTGGAATCCTTTAGAGACAATGGGAAAAAGTTTTATACCATTACGTTTCCCCTCTGGAAAAACTTTATTCACTGAACACTTCACTCAGTGTAGCTCCACATTCATTGACTCTTCAGTTTGAGTTTTCTTTGCTTGAATCTTTTCATCATTTTGACCTCTTTGATGTTGGATTGCCTCATACGTAGTCCTAAGACTTCCTTCACTGTTTTCATTGATTTACCAAGTAATCTTGTGTATTTAAGTTTATGTTTCCATTCTTGCCTTTCCTCTAAATTTGTGACTTATATATTAAATTTATAACACCACATTTCCACTTGACCATCTGATAAATAAATCAAACTTAATAGATCAAAACTAAAACTCACCACTACATATGCTTGTATCTCCTAATGATTCCCATTTAAGTAAATGTTGCCAAATAGTTACATCTATTAAGCAAGAAACCCTGATATAATTTGCACTCTTTCCTCTCACCTACCACATCCTGTTGGCTCTATCAAAATATTCTCCAAATATGAGTGTTATGCTTGTGTCTTCCCAAATTAGTGTTGAAATTCTAACCCCCAGTATTGTGATATAAGGGGGTGAGGCTTTTGAGAAGTGAAGGTCATGAAGTGATGGGATATCACCCCTATAGAAAAGTCTCCAGAGAATCTCTTGCTCCTTCCTGCTAGAGCTCTCTTACTCAGGGTGAGAAGATGGCCATCTAGAGCCAGGAAGCAGCCCCCAGCAGGCACCAAATCTGCCAGCACCTTGATCTTGTGCTTTCCTGCCTCAGAAACTGGGGGAAATATATATTTGTCGGTTAAATCATCAAGGCTATGCTATTTTTTTAAAAAAAGATTTATTTATTTGAGGGAGAGAAGGGGAGGGAGTGAGGGAGAAAGGGAGAAGGAGAAGGAGAGGGAGAGAGAGCGAGAGATAGAGAGGGAGGGAGGGGGGGGGGAAAGAGGGAGAGGGAGAGGTAGAGGGAGAGGGAGGGAGAGAGAGAGAGAGAGAGAGAGAGAGAGAGAGAGAATCTTCCATCTGCCAGTTTACTCCTCAAATGGATGCAGCAGCCAGGGCTTAGGTCAGCCTGAAGCCAGGAGCCAGGAGCTTCCTCCGGATCTCCCACTTGGGTGCAGGAGCCCAATTACTTGGGCCATCTTCCACTGCTTTCCCAGGCTTTAGCAGAAAGCTGGATTGGAAGTAGTACAGCCAGGACTCAAACTAGTACCCATATGGGATGCTGGCACTGCAGGTGGTGGCTTTACTCGCTACACCACAGTGCTGGCCCTTAGGCTATGCTACTTTTTGAGTAGCAGCCTGAACTAACATACTGACTATACACAACATTTTAGCTATAAAATCTTTCCTGAACTAGTACAACAAACCCTGTTACTACTCTTCTTACTCTTTTCCTCTACACAGTAGTTAGATTGATATTTTCATTACAGGTAATTTCATTGTTTTAACCTGAACAGCAAAGGTCATATATGATCTGGCCCTGGCCATATTTTCTGTTTTGTTTCCTATGCCTGATTTACTGTATGCCAGTCACATTATATCCTTTGTTATTTCTTAACTATTTCAGCTTCCACTTGATTTTTTAACATATATTGTTGTCCAAGCCTTGGAAATTCTAGAAATTCTTCATTTTTTAAATCTTGTTTATACATTTTTCAAATGTAGTCTTAGCAAAACATGCTTCCCTGACTAGCACACTTCATCTTTTGTTCTTCTACTTTATTTTTAAATGCTACTTAGCATGATTTTTGAATATTAGCAAACTGAAGTCACAAGATTACTAAAAGAATTAACATGATGAACTTGAAATTATCTCTATAATGCAAGGATGGTCCAGTATATGAATCAATCAATAGATTATACCAAATTATTAAAATAGAGAAGAAAAAGCAATGTGATCTCAATTGATACAGAAAGAGCATTTAACAAAATTCACCATTCTTTAATGATAAACACTCAACAACTAGGAATAGAAAGTACCTGAACATAATAAAGACTATGTATGAAAAACTCATGGCAAACACACCAATTTTCCAAAGACTTAAAGCTGTTCTCCTAAGAGCAGAATCAAGAAATAAAATTTGTTAAGATGATAAATTTTATGTGTTCTATCACTGTTAAAAATTATGTAAAAAATTTTCTTGGGTTCAATATAAGACATTTTCCTATTAAAGAGATATTCATTTGGATTTTTCAAAAGATATCAAAAAACAGTAAAGGCATAAATTTTCATGGGTAAAACATGAGAAATATTCCCATTAAGGCTAAGAACAATACAAAGCTCACAATTATTATGACTTTGAAACATTATATCAGAGGACTTTTCCAGTATAATAAAATTATAGAAAGGAATAAGAAGGATAATGTGTGAAAAAGGAACATTTTATTATTTTTCTTACCTTAGAAGTCCAAAAAAATCAATCTACAAATAATTGGAACTAATAAGTAAATTGAAGAAGTATACAAGAAACTATAAAATACTTATCACAGAAAATATAATAATACTTTAATAAATAAATTGAAAATACTAAGGTAAATGAGATAGAACACTCTTGAATGGGAAATGTTTTACTGCAAAGAAGTTCGTTGCTCTAATTCATCTTTAAGTTAAAAACACTTCCAATCCAAATATGTTAAGTAAATTAGAGAATTTTTAAATTTTTATTAGAAAGACTTTCTTTATTTTTTTAACTTTTATTTAATGAATATAAATTTCCAAAGTACGGCTTATGGATTACAATGGCTTCCCCCCCATAACGTCCCTCCCGCCCACAACCCTTCCCTTTCCCACTCTCTCTCCCCTTCCATTCACATCAAGATTCATTTTCGATTCTCTATATACAGAAGATCAGTTTAGCATACATTAAGTAAAGATTTCAACAGTTTGCTCCCACACAGAAGCATAAAGTGAAAAATAATAGATGATTTTTTAAATGATGATGAAATCAGATCAGACCTATTGTCATGTTTAATCCCTTAATCCCAGTGAGAGTCAAGTTGGGAATTGATAATTTTTTTTTACAGAAGATCAGTTTAGTATACATTAAGTAAAGCTTTCAACAGTTTGCACCCCCATACAAACACAAAGTGAAATATATTGTTTGAGTACTCGTTATAGCATTCAATCTCAAGGCTATGGAAGCCTTTTGAGTTCTCCGACTCTTATCTTGTTTAGACAAGGTCATAGTCAAAGTGGAGGTTCTCTCCTCCCTTCAGAGAAAGGTACCTCCTTCTTTGAAGACCTGTTCTTTCCACTGGGATCTCACTCACAGAGATCTTTTGCCAGAGTGTCTTGGCTTTCCATGCCTCAAATACTCTCATGGGCTTTTCAGCCAGATCCGAATGCCTTTAGGGCTGATTCTGAGGCCAGAGTGCTGTTTAGGACATCTGCCATTCTATGAGTCTGCTGAGTATCTCGCTTCCCATGTTGGATCACTCTCCCCTTTATTTATTCTATCGGTTAGTATTAGCAGGTACTAGACTTGTTTATGTGGTCCGTTTGACTCTTAGTCCTTTCATTATGATCAATTGTGAACTGAAATTGATCCCTTGGACTAGTGAGATGGCATTGGTACATGACTCCTGATTGGGATTGAATTGGATCCCCTGGTATGTTTCTAACTCTACCATTTGGGGCAAGTCAGCTTGAGATGTCCCAAATTGCACATCTCTTCCCTCTCTTATTCCCACTCTTATGTTTAACATGGATCACATTTCAGTTAATTTTCAACACTTAAGAATAACTGTGTATTGGGCCGGCGCCGCGGCTCACTAGGCTAATCCTCCGCCTAGCGGCGCCGGCACACCGGGTTCTAGTCCTGGTCGGGGCGCCGGATTCTGTCCCAGTTTCCCCTCTTCCAGGCCAGCCCTCTGCTGTGGCCAGGGAGTGCAGTGGAGGATGGCCCAGGTGCTTGGGCCCTGCACCCCATGGGAGACCAGGAAAAGCACCTGGCTCCTGGCTCCTGCATCGGATCAGCGCGGTGCGCCGGCTGCGGCGGCCATTGGAGGGTGAACCAACGGCAAAGGAAGACCTTTCTCTCTGTCTCTCTCTCTCACTGTCCACTCTGCCTGTCAAAAAAAAGAATAACTGTGTATTAATTACAGAATTAAACCAGTCATATTAAATAGAACAGACAAAAAGAAAAAACTACTAAGAGGGATAATGTATTAAGTTGTTCATTAACAGTCAGGGCTATGCTGATCAAGTCACTGTTTCCCATAGTGTCCATTTCACTTCAGGAGGTTTCCTTTTTGGTGTTCAGTCAGTTGTCACCGATCAGGGAGAACATATGATATTTGTCCCTTTGGGACTGGCTTATTTCACTCAGCATGATGTGTTCCAGATTCCTCCATTTTGTTGCAAATGACTGGATTTCATTTTTTCTTACTGCGGTATAGTATTCTGAAGAGTACATATCCCGTAATTTCTTTATCCAGTCTACCGTTGATGGGCATTTAGGTTGGTTCCAGGTCTTAGCTATTGTGAATTGTGCTGCAATAAACATTAGGGTGCAGACCGCTTTTTTCTTTATCAATTTAAACTCCTTTGGGTAAATTCCAAGGAGTGGGATGGCTGGGTCGAACGGTAGGGTTATCTTCAGGTTTCTGAGGAATCTCCAGACTGACTTCCATAGTGGCTTTACCAGTTTGCATTCCCACCAACAGCGGGTTAGTGTCCCTTTTTCCCCACATCCTCGCCAGCATCTGTTGTTGGTAGATTTCTGTATGTGAGCCATTCTAACCGGGGTGAGGTGAAACCTCATTGTGGTTTTGATTTGCATTTCCCTGATTGCTAACGACCTTGAACATTTTTTCATGTGCCTGTTGGCCATTTGGATTTCCTCTTTCGAAAAATGTCTATTGAGGTCCTTGGCCCATCTCTTAAGTGGGTTGTTTGTTTTGTTGTTGTGGAGTTTCTTGATCTCTTTGTAGATTCTGGTTATTAACCCTTTATCTGTTGCATAGTTTGCAAATATTTTTTGCCATTCTGTCGGTTGCCTCTTCACTCTCCTGACTGTTTCTTTTGCAGTACAGAAACTTCTCAATTTGATGCAATCCCAATAGTTGATTTTGGCTTTGACTGCCTGTGCCTCCCGGGTCTTTTCCAGAAACTCTTTGCCTGTGCCAATATCTTGAAGGGTTTCTCCAATGTTCTCTAATAACTTAATGGTGTCAGGACGTAGATTTATGTCTTTAATCCACGTTGAGTGGATTTTTGTGTAAGGCGTAAGGTAGGGGTCTTGCTTCATGCTTCTGCACGTGGAAATCCAGTTTTCCCAGCACCATTTATTGAATAGACTGTCCTTGCTCCAGGAATTGGTTTTAGATCCTTGATCAAATATAAGTTGGCTGTAGATGTTTGGGTTGATTTCTGCTGTTTCTATTCTGTTCCATTGGTCTATCCATCTGTTTCTGTACCAGTACCATGCTGTTTTGATTACAACTGCCCTGTAGTATGTCCTGAAATCTGGTATTGTGATGCCTCCGGCTTTGTTTTTGTTGTACAACATTGCTTTAGCTATTTGAGGTCTCTTGTGCCTCCATATGAATTTCAGCATCATTTTTTCTAGATCTGAGAAGAATGTCTTTGGTATTTTGATTGGTATTGCATTGAATCTATAAATTGCTTTTGGGAGAATGGACATTTTGATGATGTTGATTCTTCCAACCATGAGCATGGAAGATTTTTCCATTTTTTGGTATCCTCTTCTATTTCTTTCTTTAAGATTTTGTAATCCTCATCGTAGAGATCTTTAACGTCCTTGGTTAAGTTTATTCCAAGGTATTTGATTGTTTTTGTAGCTATTGTGAATGGGATTGATCTTAGCAGTTCTTTCTCAGTCATGGCA